ATTTATCACAGATATAAATATTAAAACAGAAACACTAAATCTACTGGAAGAGAAGGCAGGTAAAAATCTTGAAGACATAGGGGTAGACAGAGAGTTCATGAACAAAAACCAAACTTCACGTGAAACACTTCAGAGAATCAACAACTGGGATCTCATCTTATTGAAAAGTTTTTGCATATCTAAAGAAATCAGCAGAGTAAAAAGAAAATCCGCAATTTGAGAAAAAATTTTAACCAACTGTCCCTTGGAGAAAAGACTTCTATCTAGACCATATAAAGAATTAAAAATATCAGCCCCCCCAAATTAAAAATTCCAATCCAAAAATGGGAATCTGAGATGAATATACACTTCTCAGATGAAGAAATACAGATGGCAAATAAATACATGAAAAAATGTTCCACATCATTAGTCATTCGAGAATTGCAAATTAAAACAACACTGAGATTCCCTGTCACCACAGAAAGAACGGCTATCATTAAGAAATCAGTCAGTAATAAACGCTAGTGAGGCTGTGGAGAAAAAAGAACCCTTCTCCATTGTTGGTAGGAGTGTAGACTAGTGAAACTACTGTGGAAATCTGTTTGGAGATTCCTCAGTAAATTAGGATTTGAGGTCCCATTCAACCCAGCTATTTCCCTTTTGGGTATTTTTCCAGGAGAACTGAAAACATCATATCACAGCAATATATATGCATCCATGTTTATAGCAGCACAATTTATAATAGCTAAATTGTAACCCAAATGTCCATCAGCTGAGGAATGGATAAAAAAAGTTGTGGTATATTTATATAATGGAATATTACTTGGCTATAAAGAAAGATAAACTGCAGGCTCTTATAGGTAAATGGACACAACTAGAGACCATACTCATAAGTGAAATAAATCAGATGTGTATGTGTAAACACTGTAGTGTAAGAACCTGAAAGAGTGAATAAAATCTAAAAGGTACAATAGATATTGTGAAAGGGAAAGAAATTGCTCAAAAGTAAAGAACAACTGGTATGAGGGAAAAGAGAATAGAAAGAAAGAGGGGAAAATATGTATATATGTAGACCCAGGATTGCTAAGATAGTTGTACTACTGATTTCTGTTGCTTAATTGAAAGGAATAGTTAATGTTTAATTGTTTGATCAATCTTACATGCCTATATTTGTTTATCTGAGTAACCAATTTGAAGGTAACAATATGTAATACAACAACCATTGCTTATTTCCTATCACCTTGTCTGAAATTCTGTATTGCTTGTACTGTTTTTGTGTTATTTTATAAATGTCTTGTGCCTGTTAGTATGTTTTTGTTCTTTTATCTTTAAAATAAAAAATAGATTAAAGAGAATATTGCCTATTTTTGTAATATAATATTTCAATACACTATTATCATATTTGTAATACAATATTTCAGTATACTATTATATTTTAAATTTTAGTTTTTTAAAAGATAAATATACTTTAAAATATTTGTGGAGCAGAAAGAAAGAAAAGGAGTTAAAATATGAAATAGATGTTCAATGAACAGTTTGGCTTCTAATTTCTGATCCCAGATTTTATTTATTTATTTATTTGATGTTCAATGAACAGTTTTCTTGCAAGATCTGGTGGATTCTGGAACTTTAAGTGTCTATCCAAAAGAAATATGCTCTGTTGAAAAGGTATCCATTTTAAACATATCTTCCTTTATTCTGAGTGCTCCTTGCGGATATATTAAGATTTTGAAGTGGGGAAGTACTTGGAATCGAACCCTGGACCTCACACTTGGTAGGAAGGTGCTGCACCACTGAGCTAAATCCCTGGGTCCAAGATTTTTTTATAAAAATATTGTAGCTAGTCATAGGTTACAATTTTAAAACTGGTAAGATGAATATGACTGATTAGACTTATTACTCATGTTGAAATAAGTCTTTTCACCATAAATATGCTTATTGAATTATATAGGCTTTTTTTTTAGACAGGGTCTCACTATGTAGTTCTGGCTGGCTTTGAACTCACAGCAGTCCTCCTGCCTCAGCCTCCTGATGTTAGGATTATTTAGCATTTTAAAAAGCCTGATGCACAAATTTTTGAGTATTTACCATTATTGTATAGTAGAAATTTCTCTGTTTCTAAAGAAATGCAGAAAATCTAATAACCTAAAATTATAATATATTTGATATAAATGTGGATACCAAATTATAGTGGTTTATTACTGTAAACAAAGAAAAGTAAAATTACATATGTGGCTTGAGCTTTAGCTCTCCTGTTGAACCCTTAGAGCAATCCTTGTTGTAACTTTTTTGTTCCATCTGCTGTACAGCCTGTGAATGCAGAAAGAAAATCCTACAAGTATTATATGATTTTCTATTATATGTGTGGCCTTCGATATAGCACAGTAAACTGACTAATAGTTGATATGAAGAGATAGTCAGTAAACTGACTAATAGTTGATATGAATAGTTGATATGAAGATATGAAGAGATTGCACCCTAAAATTTAAGTTAATATTCCAAACAGCAGTTTACCACTTCAGGTCATTTTTCATTCATACTGTTCTCTATACTTTATCTTTTAGAATTAGGTCCTATTATACGGAACAGCAAAACCAAGAGAACAGAGGAATTTTCCCCTTACATAAAGAGGTGGTATGGAGTTCCTATCTTGCTGTTCTGCTATCCTCAGCCCTTGATTTTTATCTTCAAGTTACCTCACTCTAGGTTTCAAGCATAGCTCCTGAAAGCAAGGGGACATTGGCAAGAACTTTCTCCAGGTGCATGAGCTGACTTCAAGCACTTTTCAAAATCCCACAGCACTTGGGTATGCATCCCCATTGGCCAGAACTGTGTCCCAAGGCCAGAACAGTTGCTAAGGAATTCAGAATCCACAGGGAAATCTACCTGCTAAAGTTGTTTTCTTTTTTTTTTTTTAACTAAGGAAGAAAAAAAAAAAGGAAACATTTGGTTGCCACTTTTCACTTTTAGATCAAATCAGCTTTGTTGACTACCTAAATCTCTGTGTTCATGTTTCTTCAGAGACAGAAAACATTCACTCCTCCCATCCCAAGAAAAAACTATCAGGGGCTGGGGATTTAGCTCAGCGGCAAAAAGTGCCTGCCTGGCAAGTGCAAGGTCGTGAGTTCGGTTCCCAGTACCAGAGAAAAACCAAAAAAAAAGAAAAAACTATCAGAAATGCAATCCATTTTTTTGGGGGGGTGGTTTTGGGTATTTTTCCAGTACTGGGAATCGAACTCACGACCTCATGCTTGCTCAGCGCCCCCATTTTTGCATATTAGCTCTAAGACCACGATATCTAGGTATCATCCCCTCCCTTAGGTTAGGGTATCAGTCCACCGACAGACTGAAAACTCAACATTTATTTCCCTAAAAGGACAGCATGCATAATGCATAGGCACAAGAAAATGGTAATAAAATTGACCTTTTAGAAAAGTTCTCCTTTTTATAGTTTTTGTGTTGTTTTGTTTCAGTCTTTTTTTTTGTTGTTATTTTGCTTTTCTTCTTTTCTCTTTTTTTTTATTTTAAAGAGTAAAAGAAGGATAACATAATAATAGGGGGAGCTTACCAAATTACAGACAAAGTGGTAGAAAATTATCAATGGTTATTGTTTTACATATTGTTATCTACAAGATTGTTTCTCAGGAAAACAAATAGACAAATAATAGTGAGTTACAGACAAAAGAGGTAGGAGATTATCAATAGTTGTTGTACTATACTTTGGTTTCTTCAAAGTGGCTTCTAAAGAAAATAGAGCTATACATGAGTGACCAATTGAATAATCATTAACTATTCTCAATGGTTGTTGTAGGAAACACATAATAATAAACATGCATCCATTTATGAAACAGGATAGGAACAATACAAACATTACAGAGTTATGGATAGATTAGTGGGAAAATATCAATGGCTGCTGTAAGACATGGTGGTATCTTCAAAGTGGTTTCTCAGGAAGACAGATACACAAGAAGGATCTAACAAGTAGTTACAGCCTAAGGGTTGTCAAAAATAGCATATTACCTCCTCACCAGTGACTCCTGTCACTGAGGTGTGATGGCTGGAAGGAAGGCCAGGATTGAAAAGAAGGACCAAGAGACTTGCACCTGTGTCTAGCAACAGGCTGTTTTCTTGTTCCTCCATAGTCATGATTACCCAGGGCTCTTCCATGCAGATGACAGTCTGGTAAGAGGGCAGAGTATGCCCCAGGACCTCTCATTCCTGTTGGACTAACTGGTAGGATGGGTCTGAGCTCTGGGGCCTCCGCTGCAGAGGGCAGACTGATCTCTAGTGGTCACCTTTGCATTCAGAGCATGGCCCAGGAGGCCTCTTAGGGCAGTTCCTCTTGAGGTGGCCTGGTTTTTAACAGTGGTAGCAGATGAATGCAGTTGTCGAGTTCTTCTTGGGGCCCCGGGAATCAGACTTGGGGTCTGTTTCTCTTAGTGGTGCAGCAAAAGCAGCTGCTATTTCTTGGTCTCTTTGTTTTCTCTCTTTGGCTTCTTCCTCATCATGGCTATAGAATACTGAGGAGGCAATTCTTACCAGCATCTCAAGTGAGCCATCTGGGGTGAAAGCCATTCTTTGTAGCTTTTTCTCCAGCCTCCCATCGCATTGGGACCCCACAACCAGTTAGTGTTCTCTCCCCAACCGTCAGCACAGGTAGCAGGAATCTTGCTGCAGACCTCTCTGGAGCTCCACCACAGCCTGTACTGTCAGGGGAAGAATGGCTTCCAGGGGGGTCTCCCCAGGTATTGCACAAGGTCCTCCTGGTTTACAGCTTCTGAGCGGCTCTCATGACCCCAGTCCACAAGACCTCTGACTCCTTGGGCTTAGTCTGTATTCTCATGTTCTCTGAGTCCTTGTTCACCAGCTGCTCCTCCGCTGACCCTGGACCTTTCTGGTTCTCAATGGCAGGAGCAAGAGTGACCCGTTGCATGGCATGTATTCCCAGGGGTTTCTCCAAGTTTGAATGATTCACATATGTCTGTGGGGGGGCTTCTGCAGCTGGTGCATGGTGGGCCAATTGTGTCATTATTTCTCTGTGTCATGGTAGGTTTCAATTGAGCAGTGGCGGCCGGCCTGAGGGCAGGCACGCGACAGCACTCCCTGCTGTGCTGCTTCTCAGGTGCCTGGGGCCCTCCTTTCAGGTGCCTGTGAGGCAGGGAGCCAGCCCAAAGAATGGTGCTCCCTGCCGCATGGCTTCCCGGGCACTGGAGCCCCTCCTTCTGGGTGCCTGCAAGGCTGGGGGCCGGCCCAAGGGCCAGAGCTCCCCACCTTGTGGCTTCCCGGGTGCCGGGGGCCCTCCTTCCAGGTGCCTGCAAGGTAGGTAGCCGGTCCAAAGCTCTTTTCTCTTTAAAACAAAAAAAATGACTGGAAGGTGGGGACCCTTGGGTGAAATCAAGAAAGATCGAGGCAGACCGAATGAAGGCTGTTGGTGAAGCCGAAGAATAGTCAGGGGAGGACATCCAGGCGTCCTCTGGGATTCTGCTCAGCTTGAAGAGAAGTAGAAGAGGTTACTTGGGGCTTCTACAAAGGATTACGCAAACAACCAGCAGGAAATGTGTTATTCAGGAGCAGTGAACCCACTGGGAGGAGGGGCGTCTCCTAGCAGAAAAGGGTAAGCTCAGTGAGGTGGGCCTTGAGGTCTGAATCTCTCCCTACTTTTTGGATGATTGAGGCTGGTAGAGGGTGTGGAGGTTCCAGGATTTTTAAGAGGCAGGCTAGGGGAGAGGATGGGGGAATCAAAGAAGACTTCCATGGAGAGCAGAGAGAGGTAATTGTCACACCCGTTGTGACTAACTGAGAGCAGCAACAAGGTCCACAATAGCCATCTGCACTTGGGACTCAGGGCTGTGATGGAGTGTGGGTGAGCGGCCAAGGCAGGCATCCTTCAAGTTAGCCGAACATCAAGGGAAGACAGTTCCTACCTGAGGGGTTTCTATGGCCAGCACTGGGCTTAAATGGCACAGAAATTAGGGCAAGTGCCTCTCTGTCACAGGGGTGGGAGGGTGGAAAGGCAGGAGAGGGGCAGGGAGAAAGTGAGAGATCTGGGAGGAAGACCTGAGTCCCCGAGGATGACGGGATGAGTAGAGGGTGAGGGGGGCATGTCGAGTGATTTGAGCATTTCTGGGAGTAACAGGGCCTCTTCTAAGTTCTGAGAAGCTGAGTGAGGAAAGGTCTTGTGATCTAAGGGCTCACTGGGATCTCCCTTTATGAGTCTGCAGTGGGGTTTAGTGAGGACAGCAATGCTGGGAACCCACAGGAGGAAGTACCCTATTAGCCCAGGAAAGGAGGAGAGGTGTTATTTGGTTGGGATTCTGGGAAATCAAGTGGATGCAGTCTGGAGGTAGGGCTTGGGTGTGTTTGCAGAGAATTATGCCCAGGTAGGTGACAGATGGGGGAGGGATTTGAGCCTTAGAGGAAGATTCCCAGGATCTCCGAGTCTAGATGTTGTAATAATGAGACAGCATCTACAGGATGATTCATACCATGGTTTTGAATGAGGAAACCACTGGTATGAATATCTACATATCCTGTATGAGATGAGGAGAAGAGGGGTGAAAGGAGAGCAAATTATGAACAAGGTCCAGACCAAAGTAGTGGGGCTGTGCCAGAAACCCTGTGGCAGGACAGTCCAGGTCAGCTGTTGGGCCTGATGAGTTTGAGGGTGTGTGGAGGTAAAGATGAAGATGGGCTGTGAGGAGACAGAGGGACAGAAGACAAAAGTGTGTGGGGCTTAGGCACCATGGTGTATGGAACCAACAATCTGATAGTGTGGAGGTTTTTCTGGTTTTGGTCTTTTTTTGAGACAGTGTTTTAGTATGCTGTCCTTGAACTCACAGCAGTCCTGCTGCCTCAGCCTCCCAACTGCCTGGATTACAGGTGTGGGCTCTCACACCTGGCCTAGCGTGGAGATCTTGTACCAGCCTATAAGACTCATCTGCCTTTTGTACCGGGAGAATGGGGGTGTTGTAAGAAGAGCTGACAGGCATTAAGAGGCTGTGTCCCAACAGGCGAGAGATGGTATGTTGCAAGCTCCATAAAGGAAGGTCCAGGGATGGGGTACTCTTGTTGGGAAGGGTAGGAATGGTTAGGCTTAAGAGGGATATTAAGTGGTTTTTGAATTAAAGCCAGGGATGGGGTAGAAGTGTCCCAGCTGTGGGTGACCAGAGGGGAACGGATGGGAACCAGGGGGGGGATAGGTTGGCTGTAAGTGTTGGTTGCATCCAGGGGATGGTCAAAGTAGCTGATAACTTGGTTAAAATGTCTCATCCAAAAAGGGGATACAGCAGGTAGAGAGGACTAAAAAGGAGTGCTGGAAAAGGTGTCAACCCAACTGGCGTCACACTGGGGAGGTGCGGATTAAAGGTCTGGAGACTTTGTGGGCAATGATCACAACAGTAGTCGGAGGGCACAGCACCTGACTGGCAAGTGCAAGGTCCCGAGTTCGATTTCCAGTACAAAAAGAAAAAAAAGAACTAGCAGTCAGAGCCAGAAAGACTGGTCCTTTGAAAAAGGAATGGTGGATGGCAGTCCCCATATCACTCAGGAAGTGGGTGGGTTGACTCTGCATCGTAAGAGTTACCTGATGCTCTATGTTCGAAATGGTCCAATGTGTCTCCAAGGCCTTGGTGTAGTTTCAGTCTTCAGTGGCCAAGTAGGGAAGGTCAGGGAAGGAGCCGGCTGGGGGTCCCTGGGAACCCGTAGCATAAGACATTGATTTGAGCTGTAACAGTCATATTTAAAGATGGAAGCATTGGTAACAAGGCCAATAATCAAGAGATCTAAACTATTACTGTTTAAGTTTTTATTTTATTTTATTTTATTTTATTGTCTTTTTGAGACAAGATCTCGCTATGCAGTTCAGGCTGGCCTTGAGCTCACTTTGTAGCCCAGGCTGGCCTTGATCTCCGAAGGATCCTCCTGTCTCAGCCTCCTGAGTGGTGGGTTATCGGTGTGCACCACTAAGCACGAAGGTGTTGTTTAAATTTTCCAGAGAGAATGAGAAAATATCAAAGAGTAAGTTAGAAATAGTTGGAGCACTTTTTACCCTGTAAAAGAGATCATCTCTAGAGATAGACAGAAGCAAACAGATGATTTGGAGGAAGTCTGCCCTGGGCTCTAAGGCAAAGAGGTTTCTAAGACATCTGTGCTATCTATCTAATCATCTAGGCAACACTTCCACTAGCAAGACAAGGCTATATTTCTTTAAAGTCCACTCTAAACTTTCACACTGGGCATGGTGGCCCAAACATGTAATTCCCGTTGTAATCTCAGCACTGGAGAGGTTGAGGCAGGAAGATCACCTCGAGTTCAAGGCAAATCTAGAATGCATAGTGAGTTCAAGTCCAGCCTGAGCTACATTGCAAGACCCAGTCTCAAAAAAAAAAAAAAAAAATACAATTTCTGTCTCTGAAGCTCACAGGTTGAACTTACACTCACTGCCTAGCAACCATGATTTACAAGTCACTGAAGACATCAGTTTTTAGGAGCACATGAAGAGAAAGGCTGAACTGATGGAAGGGGAGGGTCCTGTGATATATTAATAGACATGTATATTTTCCAAATATAAACTAGATTTAGTTGACCCATTTTACAGCATTTTCATTTTTCTTTTTGAGAGAGGGTCTCACTATGTAGTTCAGACTGGCCTTGAACTCACTATGTATGTATAGATTTTTCTAACTTTCTTATAGGTAGTATCAGATTTTTCTAAATTTCTTATAGGTAGTATCAAGTTCAGTACTTGGGGGGGTTCTTTTTTTTTTTTTTTTTCTGGAAAGGGGGTTTCACTATGCAGTTCAGGCAGGACCTTGAACTCTCTTTGTATCCCAGGCGCCTTCAGGTGCCCAGTGCTGGGATTACAGAACTGCACCACCATGCCTGGCCTTAAGCTCCTTGACTTGAGGAACCTTGTCATCTAAGGGCAAAATGCAACCTTAGACGTTTACAACTTGGTTTTCTTTTCCGACATTTGTTTGTTTTGAGATAGACCACCCTCCAGAGGGGGGGCACGCGAGCGACACTGGGGGTGAAAAAGACTGCCTCCACTAGGAACATAGAAGTGATTATTCTGGCCTGAGTTCAGGGTGAGAGTTTGAGGGGTTCATAAAAGTTGGAGGAGACAGAAAAAGCACGGGCAATTGATTAAAGAATGTTATTGCCTGGAGCACTTAGCAGCTTGTGTGTGGGGTGGGGACGCCCTCCCAACCGAACCTCTCCCACCTGCCCAACCCTTGCCGAACCCCATCCTTGTGGGTGGAACAAAATTTCTGACACCCACAAGTTCAAGCAGGAAAGGTTAATTTTAGCTCACAGTTCGCACAGGTTGCAGTCCGCAGCTGGCTGGCCCCAAGGCAGGCAGCCGGACAAACAAGCATGGCAGAGCACAAACACTCCCGTCCTATGGAAAGCAGGAAGCCGTGATTCTGCAGTTTTAACAGGAGTTCATATCATATTTAACCACTGGGACTCTAAAGGCCTGGGCAGCTGGAGCCCCCGGCCGGGCCGAGGGTTCCGCGAGCCGAGGGTGTCTTGAGAAGGCGGCCCTGGGTGGGGTCGGGGTACGCCGAGCAGCTCGCTCGGAAGCGGGGCGTCAGCGGGGAGGTCGGGCGTCTTGGGCGTGCCTCGTAGTCACCTACCCAGACAGACGAGGAGCCGGGTGAAGGAAAAATAAAACTGAGGCAGTGGCGCAAGCGACAGGAGAGCGCTGGGCTCTCTGCGCTCCCATCCCCTCTTAAGGCGGAGGCGCGGCGGGGAGCAGGGGCCGGAGAAGGGGTCTGAAAGGCGCAGAGGGTCGGAGCCGGGGCCGTAGGGCGGCGCGGGAGGGGTTCCAGGCGGGTCGCTATGGCACGCCCCGCGGGCCCGCGTTTTTCTTCCCGGGCTGGGCTTCCTTGGCCGGAGGCGCGCTATGCCAGCACTGGCTGCGTGGGCGCCTCCGCGAGCTCCTCTGCCCGCCCTGGCCGCGCCCCCGGCGGAAGGCGCTGGCGAGAGCGGCGGTGCGAGCGGATCGTGAGGCCCTCCTTTCCGGTACATATATGTGCTGAAAATAAAGCTCCAGCGAGCTTTTGCCTTCTTCTCCCCGAGCTCCGTTTAGGACACCCGCGCCTTCCGCGGAGGGCGCTGTCCCGAGCCCGCGGAAGTGGCCTTGTCCCATCGCTCGCCCGCACCCGCACAGCTCGATGTGCCGCGTGTAGCGCCCGAGAAAACCCTGGATTCAGTCCTCACCGGGGGACCAGGAAGTAATGTCAGTTTTACTTGTTAAACAATGTATATAACTCATCCCCATCTAAGGAGGACAAGTCCAGCGACCAGGGCCGCCCACCCTGGGGCCGCGATTGTCCGGGAGACCGAAAGGCGGCGCAAGCCCTGAAGGCCCCGCCTCGGGTCTGGAACCCGTCCAGATCCACAGACGCCTGCGCGGAGGGAGGGGAATCGTAAGCCACAGGGCGGCGGAGGGGCGGGGAGAGCGGGCGACAGGGGAGGTCGTATCAATTGTAATCTAATCTGCTATCATTTGTAGTCTAATCTGATGATTAGCAAGCGGCCTTAGGGAGCCCCTCTGCCAGCCTCTGAGCAGCTTCTGGGCTGAGCCGACCCGGAGGAACCGGCACCGCTGGCGCATGGCCCAGGGCTCCGCTGTACGCCTGAGGGACGTGCTGAGGCTACTGCTCTGGTGCGGGGCGCTGCGGGCGGCAGGTAAGAGCGCGTGGCTGAGGGGACGGGACTGGACGGGACCGCGGCTGAAGGCTGTGGTCGGAAGGGCGGGCCCCTTGCCAGGGCATCTGCATTTGGGCTCTTTCCATCCTTCCTGTTGGGACCGAGAAGAGAACGAAAAAGTCGAATAAGAAAAGTTCTCTTTACTGAGGTCTTACCGAGAGAGATGGAAGGTCTTATCCTAGGGTGACCTGGCTGTGAGCTCCTTTACTTTTCTGGCATTTTTTTTTTTTTTTTGAGGAGGGGGTGTTTGGAGGCGGGGTCTGTGTAGCCCGGGCTGACCTTAGACTCACTATGTGGCGTACGGCGGTCTTGAACTCCAGTGATCCTCTTGTTCAGCCTCCCAAGTGCGGGGATTACAGGTGTGCGCCTCGGGCCGGGGATATAGCTCAGTGGCACAAACGCCTGCCTGGAAAGCGTGAGGTCGTGAGTTCGATTCCCGGTACCAAAAAAAAAAAAGAAAGATAGAAATAGGTGTGCGCCTCCACACCGGGCCTGAGATCGTTTACTTGAAGGAATTTAGAAAAGGCAAGCGTTTATTCTGGCCCCAGTGGGCTGTGGTTTCCAGGAGAAGAATGAGGGTGAGACTTTGGGGTATTCATGAAAGTTTGAGGATATGGAAAAAAGGGCC